CTTGCCAAGGTCTCCAAGGCGTCAGAACCGTGTATCGACCACCGGCTGGGAAGCGGCGATCGTTCCTGCATCAGGGTTCATCATGATGGGGATAGGCGGAGAAAAGTTCCGGTTCCCATTTATTTTTAATATAGATATTTGTAGTATCGCTGTGTTTCAGCGACTACAAGTCGTTGGGCGCATCCGTCGATAATCGGTGAAAAATGCTCTTAGTGATGGTGGCTGCGACCAAAATCGATGGGAGTCAACGCTGTTGCGAGCTTCATTGACCAAGTGGGGCGTCGTCTTGGCACGCGCCATCGGAACACGGGTATTGTAACAGTCGCCCTTTACTTGTACTCAGTGACTACTGTTGCTCAAGAAGCGAGCTTACGAGACAATTGATACGAGGTAACAACGTTGGCTTGGGGTCGATGGCTAAGGGCAATAGGTGCCTGACACCACCCCTTCAACTACTGCCAAAACCCAAACCGGAGCGAGTTCGAACGAGAGTTCGCGATATCTGTAATGCAAACACTAGAAACCCCCGTACAAGTTCTATAAATTCGCACGAAATATTGTTATTCCCGTTTCCTTCGTAAATAAACACTTTCATACTTTCATTTTTCTAGTGAAATATCGCTGTACAGCGAATCGAATATGATGTGGTGCTGATTATATATTTCTGGTACCCGAAAACATCCCCGGTCTCTATCTTCGTCATGGAACGGGGTTTGGCTTTGAAATTGTTCCCGCGCCTTACTATTTCAAATTCAACCACGTCTGTTGCGAGCAGACGTTAGTTTTTTTACTCATTCACCAGCTAAAATCACGATAATCCCCCCCCCCCCCCCCAAAAAAAAAAAAGAAAAAAAAAAGCGTTTTCAGAAAAAATTGACATTTTTGTCAAAGGTGTAATTTAGTGGTCGGTATACCAGGTGACATATCAATATTGCCGCGCGCAGGGTCACGGACTTGTAGAAGGTTCTTGTTTATTCTTGCTGCGGACATACCTTCTATCGTTTATCCCTGCTTTTGTTGTTTCAGAAAGTGCGTGTTCATTCTCGCCCCGAGCGCGCTACGCTCGAACCTTCTCCGCCGAATCTTTGAGATAGTGACTCACTCTAGATAAGAGGCCGCTCGCGACCTTGTCGAGCCAGTCTCGCCCCAGCGCTCGACTCTGCTCTTACGCCGACTTCGACGCCCGCGACGCTCTATTATCTTCTGTTTCCTTTTATTTTCGGGCACAAGTTCGGCCCCATTAAAGCTTCTTGAGTTATCACCGCCTCATCCATTGTCATTCTTGACAATATGTAACTCCATTCCTAAAAAAAAAAAAAAAAAAAAAAAAAAAATTGGAGTGAGTTGGGTAGGAGATTGCGCAGTGTGTTCCTTCTTCGTCAAGCTTCACCGCTTTGCACCTGCGTGATCGGAGCAGCGGCCGACGCGGTGGATTAGCGATGCCGTTTTCTTGCCAGCATTTTACAGGAGTGACTCTGACAGGCCACATAGACTACGAGCATCGGTGTAAGTAGGAAGGTGAACGACGCTAAATATCGAGGAAACGTTTCTGCGCTAAACTTGGCGATAAAATTCCTGCGTTGGATGTAGCGGGAAAATGCCCGTATGCTGCGGGGACTGTGAAGCAAAATGCGAGGAAGGGCGTGCATCGCCTTGCCCCTTGCCCCAGTTCATTTTGCAGGGCACCGCAAGGAACCCGGAATTTTATTGACAGGGACGGAGCTGCGCCTTGAACATTGTCAACGTAAAGCCGATCATAAAACAAACAACAAAGTTGGAGCTCGGTGTAGAAGCAGTCGCCGGTTTTGTGCTGTTAAAGGGTCTCTGACTTTCCAAAAAAATTCAAAGTGCCCGCTAGTGCCCTGTGACGTAACAATGTACCGCAAGGTGTCGGGGCGGTCAGAAGGGAGGCATCGACCTCCGTCACTAAAAGTGAGTTCACCGGAAGTCACGTCAGTTTCACTCCTCGTGCTCTCACGACCGTGCATGAATGAACGTTTTTTTTTTTTTTTTGGTCTTTTTTTACGAGCGATTGTAGAAAACGAAGTTTCAGTTCCACTAGCTTTTTATCGCTGCACGGTTGGTTAGTTTGCGTGCTGTGAAAGTTGAGGACGAAGAGTCAGTGGATCGACGTGATGGAGGTCAATGATGAAAGCACTGCGAGTACAAGCCAGTGTACGAGTGCATGTCATCAGTCCGGTGGTACAGAGCCATAACACAAAACAAGCGAGTTTTCTTTTTCTTTTTTTAATTTAGAACGCTCGCGAAAATTAGGATTGCTAGCACATGACGTGCCCGATCCCATTGCTGAATTTTCAGACACCGAGGTCGTCGAATCATCGGATACTCTATAGGCTGAAGATGCCTGCCGTCTAGAGAATACCAACTGGTGAGTGTAGCAAGTACAAGTAAACGTCGAGCATAAAGTACGTGTCTTGTCTACAACATGAGTTGAACTTAAAAATCATTGTGTAAAGCGAAAAAAAAAAAAAAAAAAGGGGACACAAGAGAGAAAATAGATACGTTTCAGTTCGTTGTGACCGTTTCTTTTCTTTTTTTTTTTTTGCGCCTTACACAATGATTTCCAACGTTCACCAACTAGCCCACCTGCAAGTTCTTCTGAGTAGAACTTGTTTACTAGGTTCACGGACTCCTCCTCTTCTACTTTTACAGCAACGTTAGGCGATGAAAAGCAAATAAAAGAAACCTTGTCTGCTTGGAGTGCTCGCGGAAGTGCGGAAAAAAAAATTACACGTGGTTGCGGTAAACACGAGGAGTGATAGAAGTCACGTGACTTCCTGCGATTCCTCCCTTCTGACCGCCCCGACATCTTGCGGTATTTGTTACGTCACAGGGCGCTGGCGGGCACTTTGAATTGGACTTCGTATTTCTATTTTTTTTTTTTATAAAAAAACTTTGCAACTTTAATGTGACACAATATTTTGGTGATATCCTGAGGAGACGCTTTCAGCGAGTCAGTTACTCGAACTGCCACCAGTCGGCGCGCCCTTCGCGCGCTTTCCGGGCCGCCATAGCCGACCTTCAGTTTCTCGCCGTTGCTCCGCGTTGTGTGCAGCACAGGCCACTACCGGAGCTTCGTTTTCGTGTTCTTTTACGTTGCGCGTTCAAATCTTGTATTTTCTTTAGGTCTTTTCGATATTTAAGACTTTCATTTAATTATTTGATATTTATATTTCGACATAGCTCTTGTATTTTCTTATTTATGGAATTGAAGCGGACAGCGAATGGGTCGACGATACAATATTATGAGGCTTCAATGACCATGTGTGTTCATCCCATTCTAACGTTTTTGTCGCTAATGAAGGGGAGTCAACACTATTGAGACATATGTAAATTGCAACTGACGCAGTAAGGCTATCACAGTCTTGCTTCCCGCTGCATGTGTGCGCTCGTTTCCGTAAAGCCGACCCGCATGTAAGCGATTTAGCGTGCGACGAGACGAGCGACGGAGATTTCCCACTGTCGCCCGTCGCATCGCTTGGTTCTGTGATTTCTAGAAAACGTCGCCCACTGTCTTGGTCGCTTGCTCCTTAGCTTCCATGCAGTTTTCCTCGTGGCGCGACTGACTAAGCGACAACGAAGCGGGTCGCCGTCAATTTTCTGGTCGCTCGCCAAATCGCTTACATGCGGTTTATACTCAATTAATTTACATGCACACACCATTGAACCATTGGCGCCTCGATATTAAGTATAAACCGCATGCCAGCGATTCGGCGAGCAACGAGACAAGCGACGGTGACCTGCTTCGCTGTCACTCGGGCAGTCGCGCGACGAGGCAAACCGCATGGAAGCGACGGGAGCAAGCGACCAAGACGGTGAGCGACGTTTTCTAGAAACCCGAAAAAACCGAGCGATGCAACAGGCGACAGTGAGAAATCTTCGTCGCTGACTCTCGTCGTTGTCGCCGTCGCTCGACTCTCGTCGCACGCTAAATGGCATACATGCGGGTCGGCATTACGGAAACGAGCGAGCACATGCAGCGAGAAGCACGACTGCGATAACCTTATGCGCCAGTTGAAATTTGAATATGTCGCAATGTTGACTGCCCTTTATTGGCGAGAAAAACGTTAAAATGGGATGAACTTACATGGTCTCTGAAGCCATATTCTTGTATCGTCGATCCATTCGCTGTCAGATTCCATTTCATAAATAAGAAAATACAAGAGCTATGTTGAAATATAGATATCAAATGATTAAATGAAAGTCCAAAATATCGAAAAGACCTAAAGAAAACACACTATTTCAACGCGGAACGTAAAAGAACGCGAAAACAAAGCTCCGGTAGCGGCCGGTGCAGCACACAACGCGGAGGAACGGCGAGAAATTGAAGGGCGGCTATGGCGGCAGGGTCACGTGACGTCAAGATGGCGGCGCCCATGAAATGGTGCCTGAAAGGGTCTATACCATTTTACCGCCTAGCATGAAAAAAAATTGTTTTTTTTTTTTGCGTGTTAGAGGTTTTTTTTAAGTTTTGGCAGTATACTTATGTTTACGCCATCCAATCCGTAGCATTAAGGTCGTTCAACTTGGGTAAGGAGACGGTTTAGCTAAGTTCCCTTTCAGCTTTCCTCATTGCAACACCGACGATGCTTCAGGTAAAGGGAGAGTTTTTTTGTTTTTTTTTTTGGTTCATATCCGCCACGTTGCGCTTGAGCATCTCGGGTTGTTTCCCTTTCGCGAGTCCCGGTCAGCGCAATTCGAAACCAGTCCCTTTGCACGCCACTCCTAAGCCCACGCATACTGTCAAAAACGTGGCGAGCTGTTTGGGACCCGTTATCGCGCCCAAGGCGGCAGCCGTCGTCGTCTTCTCGGCCATCGAGAAAATCTCGGCGTCAGCGACGGTGTGTATGTTCTCGACTCTTCGTTTGCCCGCTCGCATTCCCTCCTCCCTCTCTTACCCCTCTGCCGCATCAGTGACGTGGATGCAGTTTTTTCTTCTTCTTACTATACTATATCGCCTCGTGTATGATCTCACAGCTGTCTCTTGAGTGCTAAGTTCTATAGAGTCCGCCCCAGCGGTGCAACAGCTGCCGATGCTCCCACGACTGCATTAATCTTCTTTTCTTTTTCTTTTCTCTTAAAATTTTTTTAGCGCATCCTTTTGTTGTTCCGGTTTATTGTTGTCCACGCGTTTGCCGGCTTGCGTGGGACGCAGAGTCGCGAGCGTGGACTCGGACTGGGACCTTACTCCGGTCTTGAATCTGGCCAGCTGACTGACGGACTACCTTGCGGCGACGACTTCGACGGCTCCATCGAGTTTCTCCCGGATCTTTTTCCCCATCTTGCGCGTGAGTCGTGTTCGGCTGCTTTTGTTTTCGACCTTAGTGCACTGCGTGACATTGTTAGCGCCAACGCGAAATCGTCAACTCTCTTCATTTTACTCAGACAGTATTGACGGGCACTATACTTCGTTCAACCCTAACTTGAGAGTGTGGTGGGAGCTGCGCGTTCGCCGGACCAATCAATTACGCCTCCTTTTCATCACGTGACCCAGGTCTCTGCTCGCGTGTATGGGCGAGAACGTGATCGCGTGACGAAGGATCGATGAGGGACATGTTCCAACAGGCACCTCCAGCTCAGGGGTGAACTTTACCATCGAACAGCCATTGTTACTACTATGAAACCTAATCTGTCTCTCCCTCCCTTACTAATTGACCCCTATAAAAATAGCTGGACTAAGTTTGCACCAACGTCACGCTTATCACACCTCTTTGTTTCACCATAGCCTCCTTTACACTCACAAAGCCTGGCAGTTCGACGAAGGATCCATAGAGTGCCCGGTTGAGGATTTGGAGCGTGAAGATCTGGTAGCACAGAGAATCAAAGAGCCATTTCTCGGAAAACCTGGACGTCAGCGCAGAGCTTTTGCAGCGGCGAGGACCCGAAACACACTTGTTTGCTCGGGAGAAGTGTGTTTCGGCGTCTTGCCGCAGCGGGGCACCAGCCACGTGGCTCTCCTCTTATCCGTTGTCTGTCGCTCCACCTTTTCCATTCCGGCGGCCGCTTCTCGTGGCGATCTGCCAGCCTTTATCAGTATATAGGAATCTATGCATATAGTTATCTTTTTTTAAATCTGTGAATTTGCATAGATGCGAACTGGTGCTTGCCAGAGAAAAAAAAATAAAAAAGTCGTGTCTGTGCTTAGCGTTGCATGGGAGGTTTAAGTCTTGTGCGCTTGTGATTTGTTGGCTGAGTTACGTAATGTTTTGATGGAACTTTTTTTTTCTTGTTCGTGGTCATGTCTGACAAGGATGCAATTGAATTGAACTGGGGTTATGGGAAGCTTTTAGATTTACCTGGAAGTTTGAACATAGGTTACGATTGAAGCTAGTGTCGTAATGAAAAACCCGAGAGGTAAATAGCTAGTGTCTTTTGTTTGCTTATCTTGCTTCGAGCTCAGAACTCGTCTAGAGTATTGTTACTGTTAGGCATGTCCGTTTTTTTTTAAGTTTTAACTCGAGAAAAAAAAAAAAAGTTAAACAATCGATTTTTTTTTTTGCTGATCTACAGATTTAAGCGTTGATTTGCTTGTTGTTTCATTTAGACTCACGTGTAAATTCTCATACAACGGCAGGAAAGTTACCGCTCTGCAGTGTGTTTTTGTATGGTAGACACGGAATACGGAACGGAGGCAACTAAGGTAGCTTTCGCATTACAACTTACATCAGAAACGGCTCTCCACATATGAGTTGGAGACGAACTTAAGTTTTCTTCCTTTGTTCGGTTTTCTTCTTTTCTTTTTTTTCGCTATGATCGTTAGATTTAGACTCTGACCGACAAAACCGAGCACGCGCCGAATTAAATGACGAAATACAGTGATTTCACGCAATACATGAGCAAAGGGGTTTGAATGCTACGCACTCCACACAAACATTGACTTAAGCGTAGCGCAATTATACTATCGCGGACAATGAGAGCTATGAGTGCCTGGCAGCTTTTTAGGAGAGCCGTGGTCCGTAGGGATGGAATGCGAAGGCGAGATCCCACACCTCGGGCTCTTTGACAAATTGTAAGTATAATATAGATTGTGCGGAGCGCAGGCGCAGAAAAATACCACATCGGGTCCGCGGGGGTACGTTCGCGCGCAACTGTACTCATCCAAAAGTTGCTTTGTCGCGGTGTAAGTTCAAGGCCGGAACCGGACTATTCATTTCGGTCTGTCCTTCGCTAGGCTTGCTGACGGTGGATGTTTGACGTGTAGTTGCCACCGCGATGTCAAACACCACCGCGATGTCAAACATCGCGGGGGATGTTTGACGTGTAGTTGCGGGGATGACCCAGGGTGACGACAGTTTAACGCGGCTCACTGCTGTTGACACGAGCGCTGCGTGAATACTCGGCTCGGTTACGGTCAATGCCTTGGTGCAAATTCGGGGTGTCTCGTGTGCTCGTGTCTATGATGAACCTTGGCGGCATACTATGGGTGTACTATGGGCACCAGACCACTTGGAAACTGTCTGTGGCTGCGAATTGAGGGGGTAAATGCTGCTCGTTTTTCTCGATTATTTTTGTTTCTGCGACCGCTATACTGCCGCGGGCATGTCCGAGAGAGAACGGCGCTCCATAACTAAAAAAAAAAAGAAAGATTCACGTTTATCTTTACCCTAAATGTTCGAAGCTCGAATGTTCGAGACCCGTTGCTCTCGGGCAGGGGGCGCGAGCGCGTCCGCAAGACGCGACCATGCTATGCTGCAGCACTATCCAGGCGGCGCTATTACTTTCGATTCTGCACGTGCCACGTTCGAATGCATCTGTAGACGCGCGATAACAAAACGCTTAAAATAAAAAAAATAAAATAAAATAAAAAAGAATTATGCAGCTCGCGACCTCAGCGTCCCATTCAGCTTTATTATTTTATTGCGTTCTTTCATAGCTCTCGTGAGCCCGTATGTTTCACTTTGCATGATAGCGAAGCTGAAGCTACTTGCAAAAACGTGTTCCCCTGAACGATGCTTACACTGCACGAGCGCACGTGCTTGGAACGGACACTGCAAGGTTGGAGCTCGATCTTGTTGCCTCTGCTACGCTGGCACCTCGAATGGAACGGAGTATAAAAAAACTGTAGTGGAGAAGCGTGATGACGCATGTTCGAAACGCGAGCCAAATATTCTATTTTGCTCGCCTGGAGCGCTGCTCAAAACTTGAGAGCTACGGGCCTATATGGACAAAAGAGGCCAACATGGCCTCGCCGACTCACTCACTCTCGCCCTAGCTAGCTGTCACGCCGTCACTTCGACGCTCGCTGCTGCTTTCTCGACACTCTTTCTTTCTTTGTTTTTTTTTCTGGCACAAGTTTGCCGATTAAACCCTTTGTTTTAATGTTCGTTGTCCCTTATCCGGAGTTTGTTTTATTCTTTCTGTTGCCAGTTATGAGACGTTGTATGGGCACATGGCTTGAGCCCATAAAAAGGAAAGACAACACACGATCCCGCGACACAGCGGAGAAGGAAACGAACGTGATAGTGTCACAGTTCGTGTTCCAAACTTTGGCAAGCCCGAACCAAAAGCGCCGGTGTTTTCTTCTTTCATTTTATAACTCAAGAAGGTAGGGCAAGGGAAGGGAAGTCCGCGGAGGAGGAAGCAGACGGAACGCTAAAGAGAGGAAGAGGTTTCGCCCTCTCTTCTCCAGCGTTCCGTCTGCTTCCTCTCCCTGGACTCTTTTCCCCTTGTCCTACGTTCTTAAGTTCCTTTCCCACCGGCCCCTAGCGGCGAACATGCCGAAACTGGATGAGAGTCCGCCGGCTGACGCGTCCGTTCCGATGACGCCGAGTGCAAGCGTCGTGCTCGTGAGATGCAGCAAGACGCACTAACGACGACGATGACATTGCAGGTATAGCGGCGCTGCGTGGTTTCACTAGTAGGGACGGCGTTTCTCTTTTAAGTGGTATTAGTCCAGCCCGAACGCAACTGGGACCTGTTACGTGGATTCGACTCTATTTTGTATCTTCTCTCGTTTTCTTGACAGGGTTGTTTACCCCGGCAACTGGGCAACTCGTCGGACATGTGTTGCGGACCGTACACTTCTGGTTCCGCCAGCGGCAGATGTGTCCCGCCGTTGCGCGACAGATCCCGTCGCACAATGATCGATTGTCCCGTCGCGGAATGTTTCACCGAGCGTTTGTATCGTATGCCACGAAGGTTAGGTGAACGTTCGACGGGAGTGAGCCGTCATTGAGTTGCTTGATCCGGTCGTGTTTTCGTTGAACAATGCGGAGATTCCACGCCCGGAAGGGTGTAATTGGGCTGTCTAAAATAATTCGCTAAAACTCGTGAAGAGCGAAGTCTGCTTTAAACAATACTGTAAATATTAACAAAAAATTGTAAAGTATAAAAAAAAAAAACACCCGACGCTTTAACAAAAAAAAGTATATTGGAATGCACATGGCGGCATTACTTTGCGGTTACCCAGAAAAGCATGCGTCACCCACTTTCTACAAACAGACAAACAAACAGAGGAACTGTTCAAACGCAAGCATTATAGTTACTTGATCCACTACTCATCATAGTCACTGGCAGGATGAGAAGGAACGGCAGGAAGAAGTTTCCCTTGTGCCGTTTCCAGCGCGAGCTTTCTGTCTTGGAGCGTGCTCGCGCAGCCAAAGCACGACGGGAGGCTACGTGCTCGCGCTGGAGGCCGGGTGTTTGAAAGGGACGCCTTGCCGCTCTCACGGAGACGACCTTCTTGACACCAATTAAGCAAAATATCCTACATTTCAGACAGTGAGAAAGGTGCCTCTTTATGAGGTAGGGCCAGCTGCCATTAAAATGTTTAGTTCTTTTTTTCGAGTTGCTCGGGAAAATTAAAAAAAACAAATAAAAAATAAAACAGTTGAAGCAGTTGTCAAGGAAATCACGAAGGCATTCGAAAGCCTGAATTCAAGTTGTAAACATTTTGTTGGCTAAGAAAAACAGCTCGACCGCATTGACGCTCGTTCACTCGAGGTTACAAAGCTTATTACTCCTTTTGGAAAGCCTGCGTTATCCATAAAATGTTTTATTATTAAACACCGAGCTCAATAATTGTGTGCGTGCTTTTTTTACACATTTTTTTTTCTTTTTTTTACCCGCGTTTACTGGCGTTATACAAAGCTATACAAAACCCGCCGATCCTTCGATTTCGGGTTTTGTATAGCTTTCCATGTTGCGGTTTTATGGCGAACTTGCCCGGTTTAAAGACGGAGGGCTCATTTTGTGCCGGGGCACCTTAATGTTGACTTGGCGACGTGCTACGTACTTTATCTAGTTTTTGTTATTACAAGAAAACGCCACTGAATATGTTTGGGCTGGT